CCCCTCCCGGCGGGGCCTCCCCTCATCCCTTCCCTCTGCGTGTGTGTGTGTGTGTGTGTTTGTCAGCCCTGCCCTGCGCGGGTTTGTGCAGACGCTGCTCCTGCTGGTGCACCTGCCTGGCGCACAGGTGTGCCCGCCGTCCGCGAACGCTCACCTGCAGCGCTCCTGTCCGCACAGCTGCGGTGCTCAGCGCCTGCTGGCTTCACCCTCTTCCTTAAGCCGTTGGATTCTTGTTTTTCAGGTGTGTCAGCTCAGTCTTTCCTTCACTGCTTCACGCTGACCAGCTCTGCTTTTAATCTGCAAGTGGCGACTCCTGGGGTGAGTAAAAATGGGGAGTTACTGTGATTTCAGTCTGAAACCAATGGCTATCTCAGTTGACTAGAGACAATTATACTTAACTGGGTTTTTTTCAGAGGTGTTTTATTGACTTTACAGCTTAAGGGGCTCTTAATAATTCTGTTTTCTTAATATTTAACTGAATGCTTGCTTCTTGTGGCTCTGAACATCATACAGAGAGTGGAGGGACACCCATTCAAACTGCTTCAGTGGGAAAAATGGAAAACTTAAGAATTTTGAGAGCAAAATTTGCCTCTCAGGAAACACAGTGGAGGTCTGTGCAGTGATCCTAACCACACTCTCTGAACCCATGTTTTCCCCAGGGGAAGCCCATTGATTTTGTGGATGTGACCGAGAGCAACAGCCGCTGGATTCAGGACTTCAGGATGAAGTCTTATGGCAGCCCTGCCAAGCTGGAGTCCATTGATGGTGAGGGCTTGACTATTGGACAGTGTCACCTCCTTTTTGCAGGGAAACTGCTGCTTTGTATATCTTTATATATATATATCTTCAGGGAAGAATGACAGATAAGGCATAAAACTTATGTTTTAAGGGGAAGCCGTGGCAGCTACAGTTGCTATTTTCTTATTTATCTTGGATTGGTAATTTTCTTTTATTGTAAATAGATACATACCATACGTACTCTCCTGTATGTGTATATACACACACACTATTTTGCTATTTTTTTAAATAAATGTTTTGCTAAAGTAGAAGCTAGCAGACATTTCAGCTTTAAGCTTTGCTAAGGTAAGAATTCAAAATGTATGTTCTTTGTCCTAAAAAGGGCCTTTTTCCTTGCTCCACACAGATCTGTTCATTTGTTTTTTGGTTTTTTTACTTCATTCAGTTTATACAGTTCTTGCGAAACTTATGTGGTGTTGTAATAATTTTGTTGAGTGTGAACTGGGTTTCTGATCAGGCTTTTCTGTGTGTTATTTGTATTAGAATTAGTGTCTCCTTTGTAGGTGCTCGATACCATGCATTGCTGATTCCAAACTGTCCTGGGGCTATGATTGACCTTGCAAACAGTGGGTACCTGGCCAGGATACTGCAGCACTTCAGCACTGAGAACAGTAGGTGAACATCATCAGATGTTTTTTTAAATAAAATAGTACTGCTGTGTGTTTCCTGCAGGGCTGTTACCTTCTAGTGACTCAGAAATGTTTGCCTCATTGAATAGTGTTCAGAACTGGAAAGAGCTGCCTTAGAGAAATTGATCTTCTCTTAAAAAGTGTCCTGTTTATGGAATCTATATAGGAATTTATCAGTAGTTTTTCAATGCCTGGGTCAGGAGAGGGTTCTTCTGTTGTGGTACAGAAGTGACTCTCTAAGTCATAGGATTCAAGGTTCAGAGCAGAATGTGGAATGAACCAGAATCATCATTAAGGCTGTGCTTAATCGAGGCTTGTGTACTTCTAATTTGCCATCTGCACATGTGTTTTTCTCTTTGGTGCTGTCTTTGGACTTGGAGTGAAGATCTAGTTTGCAAGACTGGGGCAATTCTTACTGCTGTGTGCAGGAAAAACCTCACAGCCTGAAGGAATACAAACAGTGCAGGATGATTTCATTGCAGGAAGGCAGTGTGCTGTAACATGGAGGACTCCTGTGTTTCAGCTTTCTGAAGGTGCTCACAACTTCTCAAAGAGCCTTTCTTCTTTCTCTAGAGCCCATCTGTGCAGTTGGACATGGAGTTGCAGCTTTGTGTTGTGCCACCAATGAGGATAAGTCCTGGGTGTTTCAAGGGTACAGCCTTACAGGGGTAGGTGGAGCTTTCACCTGTATTTTGCTGTTTGGGTGCTTTTTTTCCTATGCACGCACCTGTGATTTCAGGTGCTAGTGTTCCTGATCTTATCCAAGAACTTCCTACAGATACTAATCATCAGTTTGGTACCCTTGGTTGAAGTGCAAGATGTGGGGAGCTGTCTTTGGCAAGGGGGCCCAACACGGGGTGCATGAAGGGAATGTCTCACTTTGGCTGTCATGTGGAGAGTCTCTTCTTCCTGATTGTTCTGTAACCTTTACACTGAAACAACAACATGCTGGAAATGTCTGCTGCAGCTGCTTGGATTCATAGCTGAGGGCTTTTACAAATTATTTCTTTTTGGTCTTGTGAATGAGATGAGTTACACTTTTCAAGGTGCTCTTTCATTTTAGTAAGTAGAGGAAGCTTAAGGAAAAAAGGCTCTGAGTACAGACTTGCTTGTAACTTGGGAAGTGGGCAGATGCAGTTGGTGTTACTTAGTGTGCAGTTCTGTCTCTGACCTCACAGACCGTTAAATGGCAGTTGTACCAGGATGATGCAAACCTCTACAGTACAGCTTCTAGGGTTGACAACTTACATGCAAAATTAAAAAAAAAAATAAGTTAATGGGCCTCACAAAAGCTATGAGTATCCTGATGTGCTTGGATTTAGCATTTAGCATTACAATCCATGAGAAGATACTTAAAATAAGGCATGATGTGACCCAGCTCTAGTTGCTGTGGCAACCATAACATTCCATTTCCTCCTGTGCATGCAAAAACTGAACTAAGCACTTCTAATTATTCACTCTTCATTTCAGCTGTTTCCCATACTCATTCCAAAGGGCAGTTGTGTTACTTGTGCTCTGCAACTGACACAGTGTTTGTGTCCAACAGCCAAATATCTCTCTCTGGTCTAATTAAGTTAATTGATGTGCAGAAATGTCTTGGTGTCATTCTTTTTCTTCAACTAAGATTTTTCAATTTGCTCCCTACAGAAAATCCATAGAAGCTGCTTGTGGTCACTTGGTTTTATGCTTTATTTCTGTTCCATTCCCTGTATGAGAGTTGGGAGAATCGTGGGGGAGCAGAAAAATAAATTGCAGGGAGAAGCATGTGTTGGTTTTGCTTGGATTTTTTTATACAAAGCAGGATAGACTAATTTTCTCTTGATCTCTTCCAGCCCTCTGTGTATGAACTAGTGAGGCAGCCCAACTTTGCCAGCTTGTCCATTATTGTGGAAGATTTTGTGAAGGATTCTGGAGCTACATTTAGTGGTATGTCACTCTTGTCCAGGGCTTCGTGTTTCTTGGCTGCTTTTTGGAATGGAATGTTTGCCTGCCAGTTTGTCACAGGTGAACAGCACTCTGATGGATTCTCTTCCCTTGCATTCAGTCCTGTTTTATGGATCTGAACAAATATTTTAGTCTATTAGAAATATGGAGTGTTCCAAGGAAAAGTGTGTGTGGGGAAGTAGGGCAGCACAACACACTGATCTCCATGGTTGTCCATGTGAGCTCTTTTAGTTGTATTTTACTCTTAGCTAAATCTGGTTTTATGGTAATTTCTTGGTTTGCTACTAGTAATTTCACTAATTATTATTAGTTAAAACATAGAAGTTTGACTTTTGAACTGCAAAATCTGAAGTTCTGTCCTACCTGAGAAATTAAAACAGTTAAAGCAGGAGAATGTCACTTTTTTCCCAGATTATTTCTGGATGTGCAGGGAGAAGTGTCATTCTTCCTTTTCATGCTGCTCTTGCACTGTTGCAGAGCTACAGGGAGAAATATCTCATGAGCTGTAAATGGCTCAGTTCTGCAGCTGCAGCTGTCCTTCAGCCTGCTCTTTTGTTAAGTAATTTCTCAGAGTCCTTAAAGAGAACAGTGAGATGCCTGTGGTACTTAAATCTCCCCTTATTTAACAGAGTGATGCCACCCATTGGACTGATACAGTTTGAAGGGGCAATAATTAGAGATGTAGTTAGAGATGACACTAGTGTAGGGCTCCTGCTGCTGTGCAACTGTTTTTCACTGCAAAGAAATTCCACTTTTTTACCAAATTGCTGTATATTCATTGCTTTATCCTCTCCCATCTGTGCTGCCATCAGCCTGCTTGTGTGATTAAACAGCATCTTTGTGCTTTTTGAGTGAGCTGCTGCCACCTTCTGCATGGTGGGCTCAGGGCTGGTGGGTGAAAAGCTGATGTCAGTTTGACCTGTTCTGTCGTGCATGTCTGGTGGCAGTGGTGCTGACAATATAAGCAAGGAGAGGTTATTATACATATATCTATATATCAATATATATCAGGGTATTACAACTGTCCAGAAAAGAAGTATTTTTTGCAAGCTCTTTGTAGCGTGGTGATTACAGCTTTGATGTCTTACATAAGATGGGTTTGTATCGTATTGCAGGGTAATTGCAAGGCTTAAATACATACTCGGAGGGTTTTTTTAAAGCTCTCTGTCTGCAGTTTACCCATGTGGTGTTAATGGAATCGAGGGCCCAGTCCTGCTGTCTTTCCAGGGGAGGATGTTTTGGGTTTGGGGGCTCAAGACTGCCTCTCTCTGGGGTTATGAATCAACAGGTCACTCGCTCACCCAGCAAATCTGTCTGATCAAAGCAGTTCTCTGATAGTTCTGTCAGATGGGACAGTGCAACTGAAGAAATGTTTGCTAACACAGTGTGTTGCTCTTCCTCCTGTGTTTAGCCAGCTCTCCGGATGCTGTACACGTGGTGCTGGACAGGCACCTGGTGACAGGGCAGAATGAGAATTCCACTCTTCCTGCTGTCCAGAATCTTCTTATCCTTTGCAATGTCAGGTGAGGCAACATGGGAGGGAAGAATGAGGAGCGGGCAGGGGTGGGCATCTCTTAGTTTCAGGAATGTTGTCCCCTGGAATAATACTTTTGCCAGGCTTACCTGCTGGACTGTGTGTCCGCTTAGTTTGATGTAGGTATTCAGTTGGTTATGTCTTCTGGTAAAAACATTTGTGATTATTAAAAAAATAAGGTAAAATGGGTTGGGACATGCATGGCTGTCTGTCAGGACTGGTTAAATGAAATGTAGAATAGATTTCACTGAGCATTTCTGTTAAGAGAAAAATCTCTTATGTGTTGTTCTTTGTGCTTTGCGAAGTTAGGATTTGGTCATCTCTGTTAGGTTTCCAGATTGAATTTCTCTGGTGGTGGCCTGCCTGTTTGACTGTCATCTTGTCAGAGAGAAGAACATGTATCAATAACTACAAACATCTTCTTTTGTTCAGGTGAATGTGTGTTAGAAGCCCTTTCCTGGCTGTGGACTAACAGGTCGTGTCATGTTTGGATGTGTTTCCTTCAGCAGGAAATGAAGGAGCAGGTATCTTTGCAAATAGCCTGGATGAAGGACAAGCA